CCGGACCCGAAACATTAACTCTGTTTTCTCCTTCACACATGCTGCCAGACCTGCTGAGCTTTCACAGCAACTTTGTTTCTGTTCAAGAAAATGTATACTTGAGGAAGAAAGAAACTTCTTAATTATGCAACATTTTTCAGTGAAACTGTAAAGCAGAAAATGCAATATGTGCAGAAGGAACACAAATTGGCTGAATCAACAAAAGAAAAATATAACAGCTACATCAATAAATCTGTGCAGATATTTTGGTTATATCATTCATGGCTTCTGATAAGAAAAGTGTAGTTTTTTGGTGAAACAGCAACTAACATTTTTATTGTTGCAAGGCAATTCATAACAGCACTAATAAAAGAAAATATGACACCAATCCATATGAGGAAGTATTTGGACAATAACCAAAAGCTTAGTCAAGGAGACAGGTTAAGTGTCTCAAAGAAGGAAAGAGGGGTGGAGACAAAAGGGTTGAGCAAGAGAATTCCAAAGTCAGGGGCCCAGGCAACTAAAGGCAGAGCCACCAATAATGGAACTGCAAAAATCAGCAGTACACAAATGGCCAGAATTAGAGGACTTTCAGAAGGTTATGTGGCTGAAAGGGAGTTAGGGAGGATAAAGATATGTTTTAAAATTGAGACATAGGTTAATCAGGAATCAACAAGTCTGTGAGCGGGGGTTGGATGGGGTTTGAGCTAAGGAGTGAGCAGCTGATTTTTTAGAGGACTCTGAGGTTAAAGAAGGTAGAACTATGGAAATAGGCCAAGAATTGATTGGTATAGTGAATTATAGATGTAACAGAAGTATGGAATTGGGCACTGAAGTACCATATTGCATTCTCTACAATAGAAATCAATATAATTCACCAAAACAAAATCTTTTTTATTTCACCTTTAATTTCACACCTTTGTTTCAAGCTTCTGAAATAAATTAAAACTCAATTTTAAACACCAACATCCTGAAATACTAACTAATAAGTGAAATGGGCACAAGTGGGGTTTCTTTTAGAGAAACAGATGCAATGCACGAGTATCTTATGACAATACAGAAACAGAACAACTTTCCACATCTGTTTCAACGTAAGTTTGCGTGTTGCAGTCTAAAACCTGACAAAAATGAGCATGACAGTTAGCAACATGCATTACATTAGATCGGAAATCATACTCAATGTCTGATCCAGCAACCTAGTGCAGCAAACATTCTCTGTAAAAATGGTCTTGGCAGCTTTATGACTGCTTATGAATAACATTACAATCATCTCCAGAAACATTTTACTTGTTTATAAGTTGTTGTCACACCTCTATGCTACATTGAAACAGTAGTCCCAAAGCACTGGAAAAGTAATTTATAATACAAATATTTAATGCTTTAATGAAAAGAAACTACATTTTACTGAGTTGCCATGGAATACACAGGGACGTGATACAGATCACACACAAGCAAACAAAACTGATTTTAGAAGTTTTGACAATTTGTCCAGTAATGTTTCTTACATTGGATAGTTTATGTCAGAACAACCTGCTGCTTAAACAATATCCAGTGCTCTACTTGTAAATTGCCATATGTTGTAACAGTATCATAATCATACTCAGCATACTGCAGTATTCATCTATCCAATAGGAAGTTCCAAGGCAGCTATGCACTGCTGACCTGAAAATCAACCATTCATTTGCTGACACCAAATCCAAACAATTCCAATAAGATTGTCCGGTCTTTAGAAAACAAAACTGTTTCCTGCATTATTTGCCCTATCTGCGATACTGATAAACCATTAAGTGCACTAAAGCCAACATCAATTGAAACACAGATTTTCAACAATATGCAATACATTGTTTAGCATTCAGGCAGCTAAATACAGACTGTATTTTAAACATTTTGAACATTACTAATCTTTGGGGTTAAATGAAAATTTAAATCTATACCTGGCAGTAAAAATCTGATTATTTCAAACTACTGTTGGTACTTATGCAGCAACCAAAACAGTTCATGAAATTAGGTTACTGCATTGACAGCATACTGGACAAAGGATAGCACCGCAATGCATTGTCACTGGAATCGGTTGCAGGCCAAATTGCTTAAATATTAAGCACGATTGTGCTTAACTATGTAAAAATATGCAAACATACATTAAATCTGAAACACATTGGGATCCAAATTGTTTAAACTTGGAAATCATTTGTACATATTTAGATATCCAAGCCATTATGTTCAGCACTCTAAGTCTCATGTCACTACAAAGTCATGGTGTGCACGAGATCTTGAATGCAAATAATTTGCCTTTAGTCTTTAATGACTCTTCCTGATTGCAGACATTACAACACTAATCATATGCCCACATTCACACAGATTGGAGGTAGGACTCTGTGCACTTAATATTGGCTTGAATCACAAAAGTAAACAAAATAAAACTTAATAGCATTTCTTTCTCATTAGTGTACATTTTGACAAAATGCATTTCAGAGCCAGGGCCTATGATTGACTAACTACATTATATGAGGTTACAATTCCACAGATTAAACATTACTGCCTACTCGTATGATATTCAAATACCCGAATTCCAAACATTGCTGAATTAGGAAAAGATCTAAATACATATCTGAAATTCACTGCAATACATTGGTACAGTCAGATACTTAACTGCAGGTAAAAAGACTGAAGGAAAATATAGTGTGACATCACATCAAAATTGCGATATTCTAACCCTGCACTTTCTACAAGGCAACAAGGAAGATATGTAGAATTTTCAGGTTACAGCAAACACAACTATACCCTTCACATAATTTACACTTCACATTTTTTTCAGTCACTCAAAAATGCCCTGCTCACACTGCTACAGAATCCAGCTATAACTTCTGTGCAAATCATTTATATGCCGTATGTGAGAAGGTCAACCAATTCTAACGACCAGCGAAGAACACATAAATTACAAAAAAAGAGAAATATTGATAATATATGCAACGTTGCATTCAAGATTGGCGCATTAACCAAGCACAGTTTCATGGACATTACATGCAGATTATGCATGTTAAGCCATTCAATGCCAATCATACAATTCTTTCTTCTTAGATGGAAGACTCACAGCAGTAACAACAATAGAAACATAGTTAAGCATATAAAGATTAGAGTTATTTAAAGTCATTTTTGAAACACTCTTATGGTATTTTATTTTTCTTGCAAGAGTGCTGGGATATTGATATTCCAACCAATAGCTTGACGATCAAAACCACAAGAGAAGAGGTTGCATATCGGATTGTCCTCACTCCAAGCTGTGCAGCACACCATACGCCGATGGCCCTGTAATAAATGATTAAAGGAGTTAGAACTCACTCAGAGACAGTAGAAACTGCCGTTGCTGGAGTCTGAGATAACACAGTATGGAGCTGGAGGAACACAGCAGGCCAGGCAGCATCAGAGAAACAGGAAAGCTGACGTTTCGGGTTGGGACCCTTCCTCAGAAATGGGGTAGGGGAAGGGGACTCTGAAATATATAGAGGGGGGTTGTTGGGCTGGGAAAGGTAGGTGGGATGGTGATAGCAGGTAGATAGTGATGGGGATTGGATAGTGAGGTGGGAGGAGTGGATAGGTGGGACAGGTCAAAGAGGCGGGGATGGGGGCTGATCTTGGGATGAGGTCGGGGGTGGGGAGATTTTGAAGCTAGTAAAGTCTACATTGAGACCATTGGATTGTAGGGTTCCAAGGCGGAATATGAGGTGCTGTTCCTCCAGCTTCCAGGTGGCATCATTGTGACACTGGAGGCGGCCCAGGATGGACATGTCATCTAGGGAGTAGGAGGGGGAGTTGAAGTGGTTTGCGACTGGGAGGTGTTGTCATTTGTCACGAACCGAACAGAGGTGCTCCACAAAGCGGTCTATTGTATCCCTGCACATACACAGGATCTGTTCAGAGGAGGAGGAACACAACAGACACTTGAAGATGTTGAAGGACGCCCTCATAGGAACAGGATACTATGCTCAACTCATCGATCGCCAGTTCCGACAAGCCACAGCAAAAAACTGTAATGACCCCCTCAGAAGACAGACATGGGATACGTCCGAGAGTACCCTTCATCATCCAGTTCTTCCCAGGAGCTGAGAAAATACGCCATGTTCTTCGCAGCCTTCAACACATTATCGATGACGATGAGCACCTCGTCAAAACCTTGCCCATGGCTCCACTTCTCGCCTTCAAACAACCACCAAACCTCAAACAGACCACTGTTTGCAGCAAACTACCCAGTGTTCAGGACAACATCAACCACAACACTACACAACCCTGTCATGGCAACCTCTGCAAGACATGACAGATCATCAATATGGATACTACCATCACGTGCACACACGCACCCTCCCTATTCCGCACGTGAATCTGTGGAGTGAATTTCTATTTGCAGATATAGTCTACTTTGTTCAAAAAGCACACAATTTATAGACACAGTCAGTCAATGTCGTGTTTTATAAATTTCTACTTTAGAAATAAAACCAGTCTGATTCCAAACCAAAGCACAAACAGATTCTAAACAAGGCCTCACAACTAACATGCATTGTCTGACCTAAAATGTCACCCCTTCTTTACACTAATAAAACCTTTAGCTCTCTCAGCACAGTGACTTGAATGGAATTCGGAGATTTACATACAACATATTAATCAATTAAAACCTTCCAACTGCTTAAAGATTTAACAGCATCTTAGGTTGGTTTAATATATCGTCATCAGCGGTGTGACGCTTTGATCTTTTACAAATAAATTGTGTGTGTGATACTACCTCTCTCACCGACACCTGAAGGAGAAGTAAGAGTCCGAAAGCTTGTGTTTTCAAATAAACCCTGTTGGAATATAACCTGGTGTCGTGTGATTTTTGACCTTGTCCAACCCAGTCCAACACTAGCACCTCCACATCACAGTTGAAGAATATGCACGTGAGTTTAAAAGAATGATAGGCAATCTTATTTAAGTACATATGATCCTTAGGAGGCTTGACATGGTAGATGGGAGGTTATATCCCGTTGTGGGGCAATTTAATAAGAGGGCATAATCTTGGACTAAGGGGTCATCCAGGTAGGGCAGAGATGAGGATAAAATTCTTCTTTGAGAGCATCAATCCATGGAAATCTCTATGAATAACCAACCATTGGAGGTTGGTTACCATCAAATATATTCAAGGCGGAGATAGATTTTTTAATCAGTGAGGGAATCATGGGTTATAGGGAAAAGGCAGGAGGGCGGAGATGGAGATTATCAGATCAGCCATTATCTCACTGAATGGTGGAACAAATTGAATGGACCAAATGGTCTACTTTTGTTTCTGTATTTTATGGAAATTAGGCATGTCAATCCAATACCTAAATATATGTAAGTTAACATTCATGACGCTGTTGTGAAATCCATGCTATTTTTTGATGCCCAATGAAAACTGAAACACAACTGAACCAAAGAAAGAAAAAAAACAAAAAGCAAGATTTACATTTTTATAGCACTTTTCATAGTGACTGTATATCTCAAAACACTTCACAACCAATAAGGTAATTTTGAAGCATGATTACTGTTAAAATATAGGAAACAAAGCTGTAAATTTGCAAACAGCAAACTTGGACAACAGGTATGTATGTGATAATGGCCAGATGATCTATTTTTCTGCGATGTTGAGAGATATCATCGATAACTCATACGCTCTTCCTCGAAATAGCACCAGGGGAACTATTCCATCCAACCAAGCAGGCAGATGAGACCACGGTTTAACATCTCAGCCAAAAGATAATCTCACCAACATTAGGATGCTCCCTCAGTGTGACAATGGAGTGTCAGTCTTGACTTCTGTGCTCAAGTCCTAGAATGCAACTTGAACCCGGACCCATGTATTTTAGTTTGCCGCCAACTATGGCTCAGTTGGTGTTCAAAAGCAAATACAGCTTACCAAATGCGTGGCCACAGTTGTCAGGGGAAAATGCATTCCATCGGCAATATTTATAAGATTCTATGTGCATAAACATCAGCTTCAGTTTATGCATCATTTTGCACTTTTATGGACACAAGTTTTTTTGTAAGCTTCACTTTATCAAGAAACCATTTGTCTACTTAACCTTATGGATGAAATAAGATGTAATATTATGCCATTACAGTTACATTGCAATCCATTTACAAACTTATTTGATGAAAAGAATGGTTCTGTTCACTTTTTAATCTTTTGACTTCCACAGGGCTGCAGATATTCTAAGATTTGCTGATTAAAGCTTTCTAAGGAAACACAAAGATTGGTCGATAACTAAGTTTTAACGGTTTTCAGACACAGGTCCCACTGCCATTTCATCAAAATGCATCTATTCATTTTTACAAACCTTAAAACAATCCTAATTCTCTTGGTTACAACTGTATGAGAAAAGTCACTTGCTTAATGATAGGTCTATTAGAAGGATAAAAATTAAGCACGGAAATAAAATTTGAATTACCTGACGATTACTGCGGGGCAGACGTGCTAAACGTACTCCTGACATATCAAATAATCGAACTTGACGATTGTCATGAGGAAGTGCTATAATCCTCTGATTAACAGAAACACTTATCCTGTAATAAGAACAGAGCCATTTCATGAATACTGCAAATCCAGTGTACATGCAATAGAATGGCATAGTGCCAGAATTTGGGGTATATTTAGTACCTTCTAACTTTAATATGTGCACAGCGTTTTCCTCGTTACCCGTTCAGCTGCTTTGGAATGGCTAACACAGCTCAGTTATTATGACTGTTTCAAATTTTAGTACAAATGGTCAAAAAAATGTTGGAGCTCTGAGTCTTTTTACTCTACAACATTTTTTATACAACAAATCAATGATACATCAATATAGTAACAGTCAATGAGACACAGCAAGGGGAAAAATAATATATTGTAACTGGAAAAGTTGCACGATTACACAGATACAGAATATAGAGCACTAAAACACACTAGCCAGTCTAACTAGTCAATACCAGTGTTTATGCTTCTTTCCATACTCATCGAATTCTCATCAGCATGATCTGTTATTCCTTTCACCTACATATGCTTATATGGCTTCTCCCTGATTTCATCTGCAACATTTGCCTTAATCACTACCTGTGGTAGCAAGTTCCACTTTCTCACCATTCACTGGGTAAACATGTCCCTATTCAATTTCTTGGTGACTATTTCATGTTAACCGCCTCTGATTTTGCCTTTCCCAACTGGAGGAAATGTTCTGCCTGTTGTGTCAAAATCTTTCATAATTTAGATGATTGTTTATTAGATTAATTCTCAGTTTTCTCTTTTCCAGAGAAACTAAGCCCAACTTGGTCACCTATTCCCAATCAGTATAACCTCAAATCAAGCATTTCTTACAAATCTTATACAGTGATACAGTCACACTGCTGTACAGTATGAAAACAGACTCTTTAGTCCAACTCATCCATACCGACCAGATATTCTAAATTAATTGAGTCCCATTTGCCAGCATTTGGCCCACATTCCTCCAACCCTTCCAATTCATATTCCTATCTGGATGACTTTTAAATGTTCTAATTGTACCAGCCTCCACCACTTCCTCTGGCAGGTCATACCATACATGCACCACCCTCTGTGTGAGAAAGCTGCCCTTCAGGTCCCTTTCAAATCTTTCCCCTCTCACCTTAAACATATGCCTCCAGTTTTGGACTCCATCACCCCGGGGAAAAGATCTTGGCTATTCATCTTATCTGTGCCCCTCATGATTTTATAAACCTCTATAAGGTCACCCCTCAGCCTCCAACACTCCAGGGAAAATAGCCCCAGCCTATTTAGCCTCTCCCCATAGCACCAACCCTCCAAACCTGGCAACAACCTTGTAAATCTTTTCTGAACCCTTTCAAGTTTCACCCTTTGTCACAGAAGTGACAAAGTTGATAGATGAGGGAAGGGCTGTAGATGTCACATACATGGACTTCAGTAAAGCGTTTGATAAGGTTCCCCATGGTAGGCTGATGGAGAAAGTGAAGTCGCATGGGGTCCAGGGTGTACTAGCTAGATGGATAGAAAACTGGCTGGGCAACAGGAGACAGAGAGTTTCTCAAAATGGGGAACTGTGACCAGTGGTGTTCCACAGGATCCGTGTTGGGACCACTGTTGTTTGTGATATACCTTAATGATCTGGAGGAAGGTATAGATGGTCTGATTAGCAAGTGTGCAGATGACACTAAGATTGGTGGAGTAGCAGATAGTGAAGGGGACAGTCGGAGAATGCAGCAGAATGTAGATAGATTGGAGAGTTGGGCGGAGAAATGGCAGATGCAGATCAATCCAGGCAAATGCGAGGTGATGCATTTTGGAAGATCCAATTCAAGAGCGAGCTATACGGTAAATGGAAAAGCCCTGGGGAAAATTGACGCACAGAGGGATCTGGGTGTTCAGGTCCATTGTACCCTGAAGGCGGCAACACAGGTCGATAGAGTGGTCAAGAAGGCATATGGCATGCTTTCATTCATCGGACGGGGTATTGGGTACAAGAGTTGGCAGGTCATGTTACAGTTGTATAGGATTTTGGTTCGACCTCATTTGGAATACTGCGTACAGTTCTGGTCGCCACATTACCAAAAGGATGTGGATGCTTTGGAGAGGGTGCAGAGGAGGTTCACCAGGATGTTGCCTGGTATGGAGGGCGCTAGCTATGAAGAGAGGTTGAGTAGATTTGGATTATTTACATTAGAAAGACGGAGGTTGAGGGGGGACCTGATTGAGGTCTACAAAATCATGAGAGGTATAGACAGGGTGGATAGCAAGAAGCTTTTTCCCAGAGTGGGGGACTCAATTACTAGGGGTCACGATTTCAAGGTGAGAGGGGAAAAGTTTAAGGGAGATATGCGTGGAAAGTTCTTTACGCAGAGGGTGGTGGGTGCCTGGAACATGTTGCCAGCGGAGGTGGTAGAGGCGGGCATGATAGCATCATTTAAGATGTATCTAGACAGATACATGAATGGGCAGGGAGCAGATGGATACAGATCCTTGGAAAATAGGTGACAGGTTTAGACAGAGGATCTGGATCGGCGCAGGCTTGGAGAGCCGAAGGGCCTGTTCCTGTGCTGTAATTTTCTTTGTTCTTCGTTCTAACATCCTTCCTGTAGCAGGGAGACCAGAATTGAATGCGGTATTCTAAAAGTGGCCTAACCAATGTCCTGCACAGCTGCAACATGACCTCCCAACTCCTATACTCAATGAACCTGACCAATGAAGGCAATCATACCACACACCTTCTTCACTATCCTGCCTACCTGCGACTCCACTTACAAGGAACTATAAACCTGCACTCCAGGGTCTCTTTGTTCAGCAACACTCCCCAGGACCATACCAGTAAGTGTACAAGTCCTGCCCTGATTTGTCTTTCTGAAATGCGGCACCTCACATTTATCTCAACTAAACTCCATCTGCCATTCCTCAGCCCATTGGCCCAACTGATCAAGGTCCCATTCAACTCTCAGGTAATAACTCACTCAGAGATTGTAAGAACTGGCGATGCTGGAGTCAGAGATAACAGAGTGTGGAGCTGGAGGAACACAGCAGGCCAGGCAGCATCAGAGGGGCAGGAAAGTTGACATTTCGGGTTGGGACTCTTCTTCAGAAATACCTTCTTTGCTGTCCACTACACCAACAATTTTGGCGTCACCTGCAAACTAACCATTCCTCCTGTGTTTGCATCAAAATCATTTATACATCTTCTTTGTACAATCTCCAGTGTCTCTTTATCCATTTTCTAACATGGAAACCAGACCTCAGACAGCACACCAAATATAATGTAACCAAGTTTGGTACAAATTTAGCATAACTTCTCTAGCATACTATTCCTCCAGAAATACATTCCAGTTGTTCATTGTTTTTGTTCTGGTCTCTATATCCTCCATCATGATTTTTAGAGGCTTGTATATTTGGACACTTGTCCCTCTATCCAAGTAGATTCTTATTTTCCAATGAATGCATAACTTCCCTACTATAGCATACCAAGGTGAAATCCATTTGTTAATTATACGCCTATTCTGAAATCTTATTAATATTTTCTTGTAACGTTCGCAGTATTCCGAACAGATAATCCCTTCCAATTAGAAATTGTGTTTTGATTAAATTATAAATATAATTTGTGAACAAAGCAGTCACAGCTTCAATCCTTGTATAATCCCATTTATTCCTTTCTGTCACTCTGAACAGTTACCATGTACTTATTTTTTGCATTCAATCTTCTGCTATTTTTAAAGAAACAAAATCGAGATGTGGGCACCAGCATCTCTAACTTCCCTTGAATTGAGTGTCTTGTATGACTATTTCAGAAGGCAGTTTATAGGCAAACACCTTGCTGTGGGTCTGGAGTCATACGCAGGCCAGACTGGGTAAGGATGGCAGTCTTTCCTCCCTAATGACATAAGTTAGGCAAATGGGTTTTTGAAACAATTGCTGATAATTTGCATCATTAATTGCCATTACTGAAACTAATTTCAACTCCAGATTTATTAACTGAATTTAAATTCTACCAGTTACCTTGTAGGGATCTGAACCCAAGTTGCCAAAGCATAACTTGGGCCCCTGAACTACTAGTTAGCGAGATTACCACTACACCACCATCTCCCCTACATGTTGTGACTTTGTTAATTATAGGGTTAAGTGATACCTCATCAAAGATGATTTGGAAATTTAAATATATTATAGCTAGTAACGTGGCCTGGTGTATCTGTTGCCAACTCAAAAAATTCAATGTGGTTGATGAAGCAATGGCTTTGAAATCCATGCTGGTTGTTAATTATTTTTTGTTTCTTTATATTTTAAATAACTTTCTACTTTACAAGGAATTCAATTAAATTTCTTACTATCAGTGTTAAGCTAGATGATCTATAATAGCCTAAATAACTTACAGGGATAAGGTCCATATCAGAGGGAAAAGAAATGATAATATTTTTTGCAATAATCATCAAATAGAGTTATTTCCACTCCAAGAACTTAGCATGATGGAAAAATATATTACTCAATCCCAAAGTGATGCTTGTTAATTTGAACTTAAATGTGGTTGTCAAAAGATTCTGCTCTCACTCTCAGTGTGTCCCTTTTTTAACGACGTGTAGCACACCCAGTATCAACAAAACGGGGGATTCTTCCAAAGCTGATCCTGTTTTGGAAAACTGATGATGAAGCACAGAAATCAAACAAACAAACAGGAAGCAGGATTTTATTTTAAAAAGGCCAGATCAGTCAGAAAGAGTATTTCACAACATGAAGATGTCCCTGAGCACTTCACAGCCAATGAATTATTCCTGAAATGTACTTACTCTTGTGTAGGCAAACATAACTGGCATTTTGTGCGCAGCAAGGTCCCACAAACAGCAAGACGAAAAGTGAATGACCAATTAATCTGTTTTGGGACAGGTTTGAGGGTCCATGTGTTGCAGCTACAGAGATGGGGAAGCTGATTTGATTTGGCTGTCTGCCTGTGTCGTAATAAGGGGGGTGCTTTACATCTGCCAAAACGGATTGCATACAGCTATGAATGTCGGGCAGGGCACCTGAAAAACCTGGCTGCTTAAGTGCTACAAGATTTTTTTTA